CCCCAAAACACCAAAACCCCAAAACCCCAAAACCCCATGCCATTCAAGTTTGATCATAAGCAGGTGAAAAAAACACTTTATTAATAATCATTAATCTCTCAAGATACAATCAATTTTCCATCAGTCATTTCATTGATAATAATCTCATGATTTAGCTTTATAGTAGTAATTACTTCCCTGCTTTCAGATCTGAATTCTATTCTCAGAGAATGTTTAGCTTATTATTTTGTATATATTCCACTAAGTACAATGAATAATCTTTCTCCAAACCAAGTTGCACTTGAAAGTCCTATTTTATAAGAACTCTCTTATTGCATTTAACTTTGATCTTAATTTTCATGTAAATCTGAAGATCTTTAGTGCACTTAGGACTCAAGATTATCTGAAACAAAAGCAATATTAAAGTGATCGGACTTATCTTTAAGTATTTGTAAAATATCTTGTGGATAACTTTATGTAAAACACTATTTGCTATAAGTTTGTTCAAGCTAGGCAAAATTTAGTTGATATTTAGTCTTAGAGTATTAACAGCTAGGATCCTATACTAGCATAGTTTGTAGAGATGTTCCAAAATCTCTGGAATATATAATGATATCATTATCAAATGTGCAAGATTCATTAGGAGGCATGAGTATCCTCAGTTAGCATATGCATGAAGAGAAAGATTTTATTTGAGCAACAGCTCTCCAGTTAAAACTATCTCTTGTAGAAATCTAGTCTATTTTTATCTTATTACTTTAATATTGATAGGGTTTTATTCTTAGATTATTAGAATGCTAGAGTTCTAATGTAAGATTTTCAAGCAAAAACTTTGTCATATTGATGATTCTAAAATGGAAAACGATGAGTTGTTAGTCTGGTTTTGTTGTATATCGCATGTATACTTAAACAAAATCAGCAATACCTGTGATTAATTTGGGCTAATAAAACCTAAAATGATTCTCATCAGTTTGAAACACTTAATTAAGTAGCTTTAGTGGTTTCTGCTCATTTGAAATTGGTCTCTATTTCATATCCATTAAATTATTGAAGTTATCAACTCCAATTTAGGTTTTGTAGATATACTTTTTAAAAAGGGAAATTGCAGCAGAAAATACTAGATTTTCCTGCTAGTTATGATTATTTGATGTTATTTTTCCTTAATTCCTTTCAGACTCAATCAGAAATGTATTCACTGCTTGATTTTCGTAATCATAGTAAGCTAAATTGAGGTACTTATTAATAGTTTTAATCAAATCCATTATACCTTCAATTAATCTCACTTCATCTTCTTTTATTGTCTTTTTAGCAATTTTATCAAATTAAGACTATTATCATAAATTTTTAAAGAATAGGAATTACTTAGATTTAGGTTAGAAGCTCTTAGACTGTCTTTTTATATAAATCTTCAAATCGAAATGCTAAATGGAACAAAGAATTCAATAGCAGGTATACACCTTGACTCATATCTAAAGCCTTGTCCTTATTATGACAGAGCTGATTAAGTAGTTATTATATCAAACTCTAAATAATTGGTTATTTCTAAAGTTAACTTACTATCATAAAAGACATCTCTTCGCTTTTTAAGCCATTCTTTCCCTTCAATTAATGTTCTTTTGTATTTATTGGATCCCAGAATTTGCAAAGTAGCAAAATACAGCTTGCTTTAATAAGTGGTAGCTAAATATTTGTCTGATCATTATTAATACCCATAATACTAACTTCATCGAGCATTCTCTTATAGATTTCAGCCATTTAATTTTGTATTCTTCTTTTGTATTCATGTGCTTTAGTGCTAAACTCACTTTAAAAATTTTCAATACTTCTTTTAATCATAATCTCAATTTTAACAGAAACTTCCTCTAAGAAGAGCAAGTATGCTTAAGATATGCTTTCTCCTAAGAGAGATTGCTTTATTTTCCAATCCATAACTTTACTGCAAATTTCAGCTACTTCAATGCTTGATAATAGCCAAGCATCCATCAACTCAAAATCAAAATCATTTTAAAAAGACTTTAAAATATCATCATAATTTATTAAGGAGGCTTCTATTAATGAAAGACATAATTCTTCTTTATATCTATAAGGAATTCTAGCTGATTAATTTTCCTCATCTTCATCCTAAATATCAGTCCATAATGAAACAAACCACTGCTAGTTAAATAGTATGAAAATAGTGGAATTCTGTTTGATTTATAACAGTTATAAAGAAACTTTAATAAGAATCCAATTACAAATCAAAAGCAAATAAAATCTATCAATGGATGATTAAATACTATGCCCGAGACTCATCAAATTTATAGCAACTCCAACTTAATGTTCTAATTTTAAGAGTGGGATGATAAATCCTAATTTAATCAGTATATCTTAATCATGCTAAAACTAATCTAGGGTTGATGTAATTATCTATTTTAGACTATGCTGTATTTCATCCATGCTTTAAAAGACACAAAAGTTTATATTTCTGGGATTATTCATTGAGATAAGTGCAATAAGTGCATTGAACGCACTATATTTAATAAACTTTGGGTGTTGCCTAGAGGTTATTATCTGTGACAACTATTTGAGATAGTCTGTTGCAAGTTTCCTTATCTAGAATGGTGAGATGTTGATATTTTTATTCTCAGATTCGGCTATTTCAGGTGGGTAAATACATAGTTCTTAATTGAAATAATTCATCTCGAATTGCCACTAGAAAGCATATCTCAAAACATATACTGGCAAGTCCAATGATTGATAGAAGAATTAGGTTTACTTTTCTTTAGTGATGATCTGTATCATGCTATAATATCTTTTTCTGATAATGTGCTGCATAATTTTAATCACAACTGGTTTAAGAAGCTAAAGAATTATCAATGATAAAATTGCTTACCTAGTTTGTCGATCCTAAGCCTTCATTTTCTTCATTCACATTTTTATAGTCGCTTCTATTAGAATAATATGTTCTCATTAAGTTTGAAATTTAAGAGAGTGCCTCAGTTTAGATTAGTATATCTGTAGACTTAAAAGCCATTTCAAGAATCTTGATAAGTAGTTCCCTATTATTTTCATTGAAAAAATAAAACATTACTTTGCCATATCCTAACATAGAAAAGAATCATCTCCAGTCAATCTCAATTAGATCAATGCTAAGATCTTTGGTAATTCTTGTATTAATATTAGCTATTACATTTACGATTTTTTTTCCTTATCATTGAAAGTAGAAATAATACTTTACTCAACAGATTTCAAAAACTCATTCTGCTCTATTTTTAGGGTTATATAAAAATGCTTACCATTGAAATTCATTAACTGCATGATCTTGTAAGAATGACTCATTATTTCATGGTCTTAAGTGCTTTGAGCATCTTAAATCACACCTATACAAAATTAAATCATCTGATATGATGTATATATATAATTATTTACTGTCAATAATTTAGGTCCAATCAATTTAAAAGAAAGAACTCATTTGAGAAACTAATCTGTAAGCTTGAATTCTGACAGATCTATGGGCAGCAGATGAAAATGCATATTATATTATGGATTCCAAGAATCTCTAAGTTAGTTCAACTCCTCCACTAGTCAGCATTTACTAAACTTATCTCAAGCCGTCAACCTGTTTGATAGAATTAAAGTATTAATAAAGCTACTTATTTCTAAATGTCTTTGCTTGTAATTTGCTGGTCGTTTTTATTAGCCAGAGTAATCATATTCAAAATTACATCAGCGTCCATTATTTATATAAATTTAATTATAATAAGTCACAAGTTATTTTGGAAATCTAAATTTTCTTAACGGGGTTTTGGGGTTTTGGGGTTTTGGGG